CAGCAGCAGGGGGCCCTGGAATTCCGATGGCCTTATCTTCCATCTAAGAAGGCGGCCTTCAGTCAGGTGGTGTGCGAGTGAGCAGGTCCTTTTTATCTTAACTTTGGGTAAAATGTACCTGCTCTAAAGTTGGTTTCCCTTGATGGGACACTGCCTCCAGAGGAAAGTGTGATTTTAAAGGCGCCTCTGACTTGGGGCGGACGTCAGACTGGGCACTTAATTCGTCCCTTACTCTCCCCGAGTTTGTAGGCATTTCCAGCCATGAGGAATGTGAACTGTTGTCCTTGGGTCTTGATGCCAGGAGGTGCGCTGCGTCCTCTTTCAGAAGGGAGGCCACCCTACTTTGAGTGATGGCTGACTGGGCCTGTTTATGGTGTGGCTTAGTATATATATTTTTTAATTAGTTGTGACTCACTCTTCAAATGTTTGTCATTCATTTGCTGGGATGAACTTGACTGTAGTTGGAGTGAATTCTTCATACAGGTGATGTCATGCAAGGTAGTTTCTTCTTGAACCAACCTAATCCATACTTAAAAATAAAAAAGAAAGAAAAAAAAAAAATGAAAACCAGCGTCCTGTGAAAGCGTCACTGTTTCTGTGCAGTCTTCGATTCCAGCGGCCCCGTCTGTCCGTACTCACTCACATGGCCTTGCCTTTTCCACTGCTGACACTGTGAGGATACAAGCAGTCTGTGTCTAGGTGCACACATGTCTTTCACCCACTAGAAAAAGGATTCAGACTTCCCGGACTTCCGCTCAGGCCTCGTCCCAAGTTCTGTAAGGCGTGAGCGTATGCTAATTCACAGTCTCTAAGATGTAAGTGTGGCAGGCGCTGTCATCTCCTGCACTTTGGTGTGGTGCAACATGTGTTTACACGCCTGTTAGGTTTTTTTGGGGGGCGTGAATGAGAAGTGCATTCATCTTATCTGTGCCATTTGATTAGTTTTGACAAATGCACGACCTAATCCCCTGTGAAGATAGAGAGCAGTGCCGTCGCCCTAGAAAATTCCACGGTGCTGCTCCCGGGGCGGGCGTCGTGCCAGCACCCCTGAAGGCAGCCCCGCTTCTGGTTCGTGTCTGCCGTCAGCCACCCAGCCCGTCTCAGAATGCGATGCCAGTGGAACGTCGCAGTGTGCTTTTCCGTTCAGTGGGCACTTTTTAGGCTTATTTATGTCACGTGCGTTAGTAGTTTGTCCCTTTTTATTACTGAGTCCTATTACACGGTACGAAGGCGCCACGGTTTGTTAGGTTTGTTATTCCTTCCCTTACTGGTGGACACTTGGGCGGCCTGCAGTAGGAGTGAAGCCGCTCTGAATGTTGTCCTTGAGGTCTTTGTGGACACACGTGTTCCTGTCTCGGGTATATACCTAGGCGGGGCACTGCTGGCTCGCAGGGTACGTGCGTGTTTAGGTTTATGGAAACCCAAGTGGTCATACTTTCTACGCTCCCACAACACACACCCCTGAGAGCTCTGATTGCCCCACATCCCGGCCAGCATCGGGAGTTGTCAGTCTTGTTAATTTTAGCAATGCTGGTGGGCTCATAGTGGTGTCTCATCGTGTTCGATGACTAAAGATGACCACGGATGCAGCACTTACTCATGTGCTTATCTCTCTTCCTTTCTCAAGTGTCCGTTCAGCTTTTTTGCCCATTTGAAAAACCGGGGTTATCGCCTCGCTGTTACTTGGTTGTAGGGGTGCTTCATGTATGTGGGCGCAAGTCCTAAGCCAGGGTTCGGGCGCGTCCCTCCCAGTCCGTGGCTTGAGCAGAGGTATCGATTTTGACAAAGCCTAATTTATTAATTTTTATTTTATGGTTATTGCTTTCTGTGTCCTGGAAACCATCACCAACCCCCAAATTGCAAAGATACTCTTCTGTGTTTTCTTCCAGAAGCTTTAGCTTTTAGTTTGGTCTGTGGTCTGTCTTGAACTACTTCTTATGCGTAGTGTCAGGTAGTGTCAGGTTGTTTTTCTGGGGGCTAGTTAGATTAATTCAGTAGCTCTCATTTTCAGTCTGTGAACTTTTTGATTGTTCTTTGGCCAGTGGCCAGAGACTCCCCTTTCCCTGGTCATTTTAAAGGAGAGGGGACACCTGAGCATGAAGGAGCCAGTGTGTTTAATGGAAACGTGTAAAGTGTACTGGGAAAGTCTGGGATTTAATTTTAAGTTCACCTGGCCAACCAGTTAGAACTCTCCGGAGCCGAGCGTTTGGTTTGACTGGCCTGGCCTGGCGGGCGGGCGGGTGGCGGGAGCCAGGCCAGCACTGTCTCCTCTGCCCTTTCTCAAGCACCCAGAGAGGACACATGGCTTCTCTCTCTAGACAGAGCAGCTCCGTCTCGTCCTTTCTTAGAGTAGGGCTCCCTCTGCCGTGCGAGGACGTCGGCCAAGCTGGGCGGTCTCGGAAGGTCTGTGTGGCCCCTTCCGTGGCATGTTTGGGGTCGCGAGGAAAGAGCTGTCTGGGGAGCAGGCCGTGTCCCACTGCAGCGGTGCGGGGCTGGGGGCACAGTGGACGACTTCGGATGCAGCACGCCGGAGTCTGGTGTCTCTGGAAGACAGAGTTTAGAGCGGGAGGCTGGGCGACATGGTTGACCGAGAAACGACTTTGGTGTCAACATCACTGTATAGTTTCCCCGCCAGGGAGGCTCAGCCCTGTTGCTACCACGGGAAACGCGCAGAAACATCCAAACTAAGGACTGTTTTGAGAAACAGCTGTCCTGGGTCCTTCAAAAATGCCACTGTCATGACAGGAAAGATGTTGGGGAATTGTTTTTAAATGAAAGGAGACCAAGAAGATATGACAACTCAATGCAGTTGCACGTCCTTGATTGGATTCTGCATGATGACAGAAGCCGTCAAGGACGTTAAAAAGACAATGGGGAAATCTCAGCGTGGCCTGTAGTAGGTGTTACGCCAAGGCTAAGTGTGATTCACTGGCCTGTCGTAACGTAAGAGGATGTCCTCATTTTTGAGAGGTGAATGCTGAAGTGACATCGTGATGTCTGTGGCTCGGCTTCGTGGTGGTGGCTGCAGGTTGTGGGAAGACGGTCCCTCAGGAAGTGGATTGAGTTCGTTTGGTTCTTTGCCACATTTCTTTCTGTCAGACGCCAGAGGGAGGTTATCGAACTAAACAGGTGCTCACTGAGGTGTTGCAAATTCTCTGAGAATTTAAAACCTTTGCTTTCCGTTCCTAATAATCTCGGAGAAAAATAGAAGCATGTCTTGGGGCATGGACGCGAGCGCCTTCTCCCCAGCTGCCTCCGTGCGACTTCAGTGGGTGCGTGTGTGCTGCTTGTCTCATCGGCGCCCCTCTTTGAACAGAGGCAGAAGCAGTGGGAATCCTGGCACGCACCGGCTCGCTGTCTAGGCATGCCGAGCTCAAGGTCAAGTTAGTGATGACGGAGGCAGTTGAGTTTCAGGAGAACACCATCTTTATTTGTCCTGTTCTTTTGAATTGTATCGGTTCTACAGTTTTAAAAATGTTTTTGTTGTGGTAAAATATACATGAGACAAAATTTACCGTCAAACCATGTTTCGGTGCTTAGCTCAGTGGCATTAAGGACACTCAGAGTGTCGATTAACTCGCCACCGTCCGGCTCCAAACCCATTAAGCAGTAACTTTCTGTTTCCCGCTCCCCGTCCCCTGGCGCCTTCTGTCCCCTCCTGCCCTGATAACTTTTCAGCTCTTCTAGATGCCCCACATAAGTGGAATCAGACAACGTTTGTGCTTCCGTCTGGCTTACCTCACTTAACAGGTTTTCAGGCATCATCCGCGTTGCAACATGGACCGGAATTTCCTTTTTCATGGCTGGGTAGTATTCCGCTCATGCATACACTGCAGGCTAGCACCCGTCCATCCGCCGGTAGACGGGTTGCTGTGTCTTCCCGCTGTCGTAGACGACGCTGCCGGGAACGTCGGTGCACAGATACCTGCGTCCAGGGTTGGAATTGCTAGGCCGTGCTGTGATTATTTAGCGTTTTGAGGAACCGCTGGCCTTTTCCACAGCAGCGGCTCATTTCACATCCCGCCAGCAAGGCACGAGAGCTTCCGTTCCTCCCGTCCCCTCAACACGTGTCATTTTCTGTTTTTTTTTTGACAATAGCCATCCCAGTGGGTGTGGAGTGGTATCTCATTGTGGTTTTGACTGGTATTCCCTGGTGACTAAAGATGTTATAATCTATTCATGTGCTTATCGGCCATTCGTGTTATCTTCTTTGGAGAAATGTCTATTAATGTCTTCTGCCCTTTTGTGATCAGGGTTGTTCGTTTTTGTTATTGAGTTTTAGGAGTTCTTTATATATTCTGGGTAGTGATCACTTATCAGATGTATAATTTGCAAATATCTTCTTTATTCTGTGTGTTGTCCTTTTACTCTCTTGATAGTGTCTTTTGATGCACAAAATTTTTAAATTTTCATGTTGTCCGGTTTATTTTTTCTTTTGTGGTCTGTGCTTTTGGCGTTATAAACTATTGTTAAATCAAAAGTCATGAGAATTTTCCCCTATGTTTTCTTTTATAGTTTAGCTGTTAATGATTACGTCTGGTTAATTTTGAGTTAATTTTTTATATGGTGTACAGTAAGGGTCCAGCTTTTTTCTTTGCATGTGGATATCCAGTTTTCCGAGCACCGTTTGTCGATAATGTCATCCTTTCTCCATCCAATGGTCTTGGCACCCTTGTCGAAAATAATTTGACCATGTATGTGAAGGTTTATTTATGGGCTCGCCATTCTATTCCTTAGGTCTATATGTATGTCCTTAAGCTGGTACTACACAGTTTTGATTATTAGAGCTTCGTAGTAAGTTTTGAAGTGGGGAGTGTGAGATTGCCAATGATATTCTTTTTCGGGGTTGTTGTGGCTATTTGGCATCCCCTGAAATTCCCTATGAATTTTAGGATGGTTTTTTCTCTTTTTCCAGAATATGTCATTGGGATTTTGACAGGCGTTGCCTGGGATCTGTAGGTCCCTTTGGGTAGTATTACCATCCTAACAATAGTAAGGCTTCCAGTTCATGAGCACAGAATGTTTTCCATTTTATTTGTGTCTTTTAAAATCTCTTTCAGCAGTGTTTTGTAGTATTGAGTGTACAAGTCTTCCAACTCCTTGGTTATATTTATTTACAAATATTTTATTTTTGATGCTATTGTAAATGGCATTGTTTTCTTAATTTCCTTTTCAGATTGTTCATTGTTAGCATACAGAAACAGCCGATTTTTGTCTCTTTTATATCCTGCAACTTTGCTGACCTTGTTTAACTCTTTAACAGCGTTTTTGTGAATTCTCTAGTGTTTTCTACATATAAGATAGTGTCATTTGCGAGCCAAGATAACTTTACTTCTTCCTTTCCGATGTGGTTGCATTTTATTTATTTTTCTTGCCCAACTGCTCTGCCTAAAGCTACCTGTTGAACAGAAGTGGCGAGAGCTAGTGTCCTGGTCTTGTTCCCGATCCTAGAGGAAAAGCTTTCAGTCTTTCACCAGCGAGTATGATGTTAGCTGCGGGCTTTTCACCTATGGCCTTTATCATGTTGAGGAAGTTACTTTCTGTTACTAGTTTATGGAGTTTAGTTTTTAATCATGAAATGGTGTTGAATTTTTCAAATGCTTTTTTGCATTAACTGAGGTAATCGTGGGTTTTTTCCTTTATTCCGGTAATGTGCCTTATTACATTGATTGATTTTCGTATGTTGAACCATCCTTGCATTCTGGCGATCAGCTTCACTTGGTCATGGTGTGTGGCCCTTTCCATGCGCTGCTGGATTTGGTTTACTGGTCTTTCGTTCAAGATTTTTGTGTGTGTTCATGAGGCGTATTTTTTCCTTTAAGTGTCTGTCTGGCTTTGGTATCAGGGGATGCTGGCCTCATGCTTGAGGAAGTGTTACGTTTAGTTTGCCAGGGCTGCTGTAACGAAGCAGCGTAGACCGGGTGGTTTAAACAACAGATTCATTTTCTCAGGACCGGAGGCTGGAAGACCAAGATCAAGGTGTCTGCAGGGCTGGTTTCCTCTGAGGCCTCTCTCTTGGCTTGTGGATGGCCATCATCTCCCCACGTCCTCACGTGGTCACCCCTCTGTGTGTGTCTATGTCCTAATCTTTTCTTACGAGGACACTGGTCGGATTGGGTTAGGGCCCACCCAGATGACCTCCTTTTACCTTAGTTGTCTGTTTAGAGGCCTTGTCTCCAAGTACAGTCACCTTCTCAGGTGTTGGGGGGTTGAGCTTCAGAAAAGGTCACAATTCAGACCATAGCATGTCCCTTCCTCTTCAGATGTTTTGGTAGAGTTTGAGAAGAATTTGTGTTAATTCTTTAAATGTTTGATAGAAATTCACCAGTGAGGCCACCTGGTTCTGAGTTTTTCTTTGTTGGAAGAGTTTTGATTACTGATTCAGTCTCCTTACTAGTTATAGAAAATTCGTTCAGATTTTCTATTTCTTTTTGAGTCAGGGCTGATAAATTGTTTTTCTAGTAATTTGCCTCTTTTATCTAAGTTATTTAATTTGTTGGCCTACAAATTGTTCATCATATTCTCTCCTAATGCTTTATTTCTATAAAGTTGGTAATAATGTCCCTTTTTCATATTTGACTGTAGTAATTGAGTCTCCTCTGTTTTATTCTTAGTCTAGATAAGGTTTAGTCAGTTTTGTTGATCTTTTCAAAGAGCCAGCTTTTAGTTTTGTTGATTTTTTTTAAATCGATTTTTCTATTTTATTTGCCTCTGCTCTAATCTTTATTATTTTTGTTTTTCTGCTCTTGGGTTTAATTTCTTTGTCTCTTTCTAATTCCTTACTATGTATAGTTAGGTTATCGATTTGAGATTTGTTTAGATGCGTGCATCTACAGATACAGGTTTCCCTCATAGCACTGCCTTTGCCGCATCCCCTAACTTGCTATTTAGTGTGTCCATTTTCGTTTATCTCAAGGTATTTTCTAATAAAGTTTTGAATTTATCGATTTTATAGTTTTTAAACTTACATCTTTTCTGGTCTCAGAATTGCATGAGTAGTCCTCTATCTTGATTCATGGTTGAAACATGGTAGCATGTTTGAGCTGCGTTGCGACAAAGCATGTAATGGACAGTGGGGTCTGTGAGGCCTCGCTAAACTCGCACAGTGAAGCTTTGTCAAGACACCTGCAGTCGGTGGTATGGAAAATGGCCTCAGTGAGTAAGTGGGCCTGTGACCTAAAAGGCTTAAACAGGCCACACCCTTCCCGGTGGCCCTTAGAGTAGAAGGTGGCCCCGTCCTTACTGAGGGCCTGTGTGGGGAGCAGGGTGGCCACAGGCTGGCATCCCGTCTGCGTGAAGGCCGCCAGCTCTGATGCCCGAACCGCTCCCTTAACTCTGGTCCCCCAGCTCCCGCCCCGAGCCCCGCATTGTCACGGGCACAGCCCTCTCTCCAGCCAGCTTTTGGTGACCATCTAGGTACTACATTTCACAGGTCTGAAAGTAGTTGAGTGCTTGGGGCCAGTGATAGACGCCAAGTAGCCAGCTGCCCTGGGCACGTGCAAGTTCTGCCAGCCCCCGCCGCACTCCACGCACGGCCACCTGGCGGGGGGAAGGGGGTGTGGCGCGCTCGGCTGGGGGACCCAGGCGCCGTGTGCCCGTCTGGCTGCGGGTGCCAACCGCAGACCTCTCTCCCACCGCAGGTCTTCAGAAACCCCCACGAGGTGGCGACGGTGCTGCTCATCCAGACGCTGGGCGACTTGGCGCCTTCGCTGCCCGCCTGCCTGAGCGCCGGCGTGGAGCAGGCGGGGCCAGAGCTGGAGCTCTCTAGGCTGCTGGACTTCCATGCCACCACCACCCACTTCGCCAAGGGGCTGGAGATGGCACTGCTGTCCCACTCACGTGAGCAGCCTTTCCTCGCTCTGTTGACTGACACTTCTGGGGCCTGGGTGGCTTGCCTTGTCGGGTGGATGGGTCGGTTCCGCTTCTCAGCAGTATGGAAGCCTTTGCCCTGAGAATGTCGCCGTCGTGGACACGGCGGTTGCTTACTACCCACCCCTAGCAGCCGTGCTGCCTGGCGCTTTACATGCCCTGGGGAGGCAACAGACCCAGACCTCGGTGCAGCCAGGGGCAGAGGTTACTGGGGGGCGGGTCCCTCTGCCTGGCCCGGCATCATGAGCCCTTGGTTCAGCCCGCAGAGTGCGCTCGCGGGAGCAGACGGGCTGAGGAGCTTTCGGAGTGGCAGCGGTTCTGAGGGCAGGGCTGCTGAGTGAGGGCTGGCGGTGGCCGTAAGAGCGGACCTCACCCTGGCTCCTTTGGGTAGACGGTGCGCGTGCTGCCACGTCCCCCGGCTGTTTTCTGTCTATGGTAAAAGCATCGTAAACCTTTAGGGGACACCGACCTCGTGACACATGCTGCTGTCAGATCAGGAAGTCACTTCCAGAAGGCCTTGTCCTGCCGTGTGGCTGCTGTGTCACCACCTTGGCTTATTCCATAGTTATTCTCTTTAATTACACTTGCATGTAATTACCTCGGACGTTCCAGGGACCGTGTGTATTGTTCGGGTTCCCGGTGACTCATGGGTGTTTTTGGCACTCTCCCTGCTCAGGCCGTGGTTGCGGGAGAGGCTCGGTGGCGGTGGGCAGCCTCCAGGGGACCAGGTGCCCTTCCCAGTGGCCGGAGGGTTTGCAGCTGCGCGTCCTGCCGGGGCAGACTAAAACAGACCTTCCTCCGCTGCTGACCACGGGCAGCTCTGAAGAGCCAGCGGGGGGAGTGCTGTGTCACGCAGCAGTGGCCGCAAGGATCTTTCAGGAGTCCTACTGAGTTGTTCAAAAAAGTGTTTTTTAAATTTAAAAAAACCTTGGAAACACAGACAAAAATGAAAAAGAGAATAAAAATGACCGCTAACCTTATCACTTGGAGAGAACCGCGACAGCTTTCGGTCACATTTCTCCCAGTAATTAAATGTAAATTTTTCATAAATATGTATACTTTATATGCACATATATATTTATACATATTTTTAAATGTCGATTGCATACTATCTTATTTTTTTTGTTCAAAATAATATAACGAGAATTTTCTTATGTCATTAAATGTTTGATGACCACTTAACTATGGGTTGCTATGACTTTTTAACACATTTTTGGGACAGTTTGTATCAAAAAGCAAGAAAGCACTCAAAGACTCATAGGGATGTGTCAAAAAGACAGGTGGCAGCCTGAGGGGCAGCCACTGACCAGATCGGAAATGACGTGAACATCAGAATGAGAAGGGACCAGCACAGTGGGTGGAAAGACCCTGTGCGTTCCCAGTGCAATTCGGAAGGGACAGTGACGGGCACAGGCGCGGGGCGTGACATCGGCGACGTCAGCGAGCGTTCAGGCCACGTGTGCCAGGTCGCTGGGTGGTCCGTCACCTGAGAAGCTGTGTGCCGAGTCACAAGCGCACGCACTTAGATTTCTGATGCCGGCGTGCTTGCGGTTTCTGTGCAGCCGCACGTAGGATTTGGGGAGTGCCCGGTACAGCACCCTGCTTCTGCCAAGTCCTGGGAAGGCTCGAGGCGGAAAGTGTTCTCCTGTGGAGCCTTTGCTCTGTGGTGGCTCTTGAACTTGACCGCCAAGGGATGTCACATGCGGGTCCTTGACCACGACGGGCCTGGTGTCCTTAGCGTACTTTAGACCCTGGTACGGCAAGTCCACACTGGGGCAGAGACTGCAGCACCTGTCACAGCTCCCATCTTCAGTGGAGCAGGTTGGCAGAACACTGTCCCTCTACGAGGACGCAGTCCCAGCGCCGGCCTGGTCCCGCCTCCGCTCCCGGCCCTTCACTCATCACTGCCTCTCTTTTCTGATCCTAAAGACGAGCCCAGCCTGGTGAGAGTCGCGGAGCTGGTGGATGCCGTGTACGGCCCGTACGCGCCTTACCAGCTCAAGTACGGCGACCTGGAAACGAGCAGCCTCCTCATCCAGATGAGCGCGGTGCCCCTGGTATGCCCGTGTCCCGCCCGCTCTCGGGGCATCCTGGGGGCGGGGTGCGTGGGACTCGGTGGGAGGCGGCATCACGGGGGCAGAACCGGCTCCGAGGGCCTCGTGGACTCTTGCCATCTGCATGGAGAATTAGCACAGGCTGCTTCAGCTGCCATTTAAAGTCACTGCTATGGGTCTAGAGACAGAAGTCTTAGGATAAGGTGATCACCTCCCCGATTTGAGACTTTCTTACTGCGGCAGTGTTGTGTTTGAGGAAGGCAGGCTGATGGGGACGGCAGCTGAGCCCCCATAGACAGTGCCACACGGCCATGTTCACTGTGTGGGCCGGGGAAAAGAGAGGGCGTGTCCAGTGCAGGTGTTAAGGTGTCTAGCAGAGGTCAGTTGACATTTAAGACAGGTTCTACAGTAGCCACGTGCTGCCTAGAAGGTCTCTTCCACTTTGGTGACACTCTTGCCCCTGCAGGGAGCATTTTTTTCACTGGGTCCTTTTGGAATGTCTGATACGGAGATTCGAGTTCTGGGCCTGAGCCTCGGGGAGGCAGGCCTTGTTAGTCCCAGAGACAGAGGAGGAGCTGAAACCACAGGGGTGGATGCCGGGGCTTGATCGTGCCCTCCTGCCACGGGTTAAGTTGTGACATCTCGCAGGCCACCGAGATGGCTCCTGTGGCACAGGTCT